AGATATGCACGAAGCCTCTGGTTGGTTTGTGTTGACTGTGGTTGAATCGTTCCTGCACGACATGATCCCAACCCGGCTCGCACCAAAGAAACATCTGCAATGAACCCAAGCCAAGCGGCTATCCGTTATTCACCATACCATCCCCATCATGTACGCGGGTTAATGGTCCGACTGACGAGAGCCCAGTTTGGGGGATATTTGCTCACTCCACTTCTCCAGTGGTGCTCTTTGCATGGTCAGATTGAGTGACTGGGCCAAGCCGTGGGCATTCATCTGCCCACCGCTTGGCCCAGTCACTCAATGTATGGGAAGTGTACAGAGAATGGATCAGAAGCTTTAATTTTTTAAAATTATTGAATGGGATGTGGTCTGATGTGAAAATGTATTTGCCTTTAACTAAATGCCTTGCTAGATCACAACAGATGTCACTGAAGCGTGTTGAATGCAGGCTCAGGGGAGGTTTACTGGAATGGGCATGTTGTCTCAAGAGAAAAGATTGCCCAGGCTGGGCTTGTTCCCACTGGAGTTTAGGAGGGAGTGGGGTGATTTTGCTAAGATCCTGAATGGTCTTGACGAGGTGTGGAAAGAATGCTTCTAATTGCGGGTGAGTCCATAGCTAGGGGGGGCTAAAATTAGGAGCTGCCCTTTTAGGGGATTTTTTTTCCCCTGAGAGTTGTGCATCTTTGGAAATCTCTGCCTCAGAAGGCAGTGGAGGCAGGGTTGGTGATTAGTTTTAGGGTGGTGGAAGATAGATTCTTGTTAATTGGGTAATCAAAGGTTATCAGAGAGAGAGTCATACAGCACAGAAACAGACTCTTCGGTCCAATCAGTCTATGCTGACCATAATCCCAAACTAAACTACTCCCACCTGCCTACACTTGGCCCATATCCCTCCAAACATTTCTTATTCATGTACTTATCTAAATGCCTTTTAAGTGCTATAACTGTACCCGCATCCACCACTTTCTCTGGAAGTTCATTCCACACACGAACCACAATCTGTGTAAAAAAAAATGCCCCTGATGTCTTTTTTAAATCTTTCTCCTCTCATCTTAAAACCATACCCCCTTGTCTTGAAATTCCCCAGCCCAGGGAAAAGACACTTGCCATTCACCTTATCTATACCCCTTACAATTTTATAAACCTTTAAAAGGTCACCCCTCAACTTCTACACTTCAGTGAAAGAAGTCCCAGCCTATCCAGCCTTCCCTTATAACTCAAACCCTCCATTCCTGGCAACATCCTTGTAAATCTCTTCTGAACCCTCTCCAGCTTAATAATATCCTTCCTATAACAGGGTGAACTGAACTAGAGTCAGTACTCCAGAAGAGGCCTCACCAATGTTTTGTACAACCTCAAAATAACATCCCAACTCCCATACTCAAACGTCTGAGCAATGAATGCAAGTGTGCTAAACACCTCCTTAACCACCCTATCTATTTATGATGCAAACTTCAAATAATTATGTATCTGAACTCCTAGGTCTCTGTGTTCTACAGCACTACCCGAGGCCCTACTTTTAATTGTATAAGTCCTGCCCTTGTTTTTTTCCCAAAAAGAAATGCCTCATATTTACCCAAATTAAACTCCATCTGCCTGTCTTCAGCCCTCTGACCCAACTGATTATTTGCCAGTATTTGGCCCATATCCCTCTAAATCCTATTTGTTTATTTGTTTCTATTTGTTTCAAGTGTATTGCACACATTTGAGAATGTACAATTTGCTTACAAGCTAAATATAACGTCAGCTTTCCTGCTCCTCTGACGCTGCTTGGCCTGCTGTGTTCATCCAGCTCTACACCTTGTTATCTTATATTAGGCAACACCTGCCTCTTACAAAAGCAAATCTCAAAACCAAAATATCCAAGGCAGTCATTCAGTCCCTGATAATAGGAATGCTGTCCTCTGCCAAAATTGGGTATTCTGCATCAGCTTATGTACATTTTTGTTTAAAGTATTGAAAAGGCTAGATGGAAATTTGGAATTAGCTATGATCCTATTGAATGGTGAAGCAGGCTTGACAGGTGAATTGTCTATTTCTGCTCCTAATTCATATGTTTATAACCACATTGCTTTGGGTCTGGAGTCACCTGTAGGCCAGACCAGGTAAGGATGACAGATTTCTTGCCCTAAAGGACATAAGAGTCAGAGGGATCTACAGCAGAGAAAAAGGCTCTTCAGTCCACTATGCCCATGCTGGTCAAAACCAACCATCTAACTCCTGACAATATTAAATCAGATAGCATTTTACAACAATTGATGATGTTTGTTATGGTCACCATCACTGATACTAATTTTATATTCCACCAGTTAACAACTAGTCCAGTTACAACGCCCTTACTCACCACCCCACCCGTCCCTATACAGTTAGTTCTCTTCTAACTAATGAGATGCCAGAATTCTAGATGACTACAGAGTTTAAGGAGTCCATGAGCATGAATCACTGAAATAAATTAGGAAGGTACAACAAAACAATTAGAAGGAAGAATATCTCAAGGAAACTTGAATACAACAGGGGGGCGGGGTGATGCTATTGTTAGATATTGCATCTGGAGTTCTGCATTCAGTTAAAGTTTCTTTATCTCATGAAAGATGTTTGAGCCTTGGAGTGGGTACCGATTCATCAGGTTATATGTTAAAGGAATTGTACAGAATTTTAAAGGATACGTTACAAGGACAAGGTGCTACGTTGGTATTTCCTTGAGCTTGGAGGCTAAGTAGTGAACCCATAGAGGATTATTAAAGGAATTTATAGAGCTTCTGGAAAGAAACAATTTCCTCAGTTGGGATGGAGGTTGCAGGGTGGAGGGTTCGGAAGTGAAGCAGAACCTTAAAATTCAAGCGAGGCCATTTGGGGGCAATGTCAGGAAGCACATCTTCACACAATCGGAAGTGGAAATCTCGAACTCTCCCCTCTCACAACCCAAACGGCTGTGGATGTAGGAGGTGAATCAAAACCTTCAAAAATAAGGTGGACAGATTTTTGTTAGGTAGGGGACACCCTTCCCCAACACCAAGGAAGCTCTAGGTCAAGTCCAACTCCAGGGTTTGATGGCCAGGGAAGTTGTATTCATAACAGAGCCGAACAGGTTAAGATTCAACCTGCAAATCCTCTTAACACAATGGCAGGCAGTAAGAGCGGGAGAGATTCAGGGTCAACCATGTGATGGAAAGAAATTGGACGCGCTACCTTTACTGCCCATCGATCCAGATTACAACATGCAAGTGAAATACAACATGTACGTGGAACGTGCATGAATGTGAAATACATTTATGTGAAATACAACATGCATCTGAAATACATTTGTGAAACAATATGTATTTGAAATACATTTATGTGAAATACAACACGTGAAATACATATCTTCAGAATGTGCATGAATGTGAAACATATTCATATGAAACACAACATGCATGTGAAATACAACATGTATGTGGAATGTGCATGAATGTGAAACACATTTAAGTGAAATGCAACATGTGATTGAAATACAGTCATGTGAAATGCAACAGGTAAGTGAATGTGTGTTGTCACAGCAAGTCCGAGTGGTCGATAACACACCATATCAGGGATGCAGTTGAATGGCAGAACAGGCTGGCGAGGCTGAATGGCCTCCGTCTGTCCCCTTGTAAATTCATTGGGAAGCGTGTGACTGTTTGGAAAGAGGTGGACAGCATTCTGAAGTGGTGGCTGTGATTTTTGCGGGCGCCTGTGTTAAGCTCCCCAGACAGATCTCTCCCACTGAGCAATGTTACAACAACCAAGTTGAAGGCCCATTACTGCGGCCTGTCGGTTTGGGTTCAGTGACCAGCTTCGCTGGGAGGTGTCTCTCTTTTAACTTTGTAAAGCCTTGGACTTTCCACCTTGGTGACCCACATGTTCTTGTGCCCAAGCAGGTTTTCGGGAAAGCGCCTTCATGTTTTCGCTGCTGGCCGCGGGGGTTACTCACTCGGTGGCGACAGCCTGTAGCTTGGGGAAGCTCCGGGGCTGCGGTTGCGATCTGAAGCGGCGGGAAGACGACCAGAACCTGCGCTTCAAGCTCCACCAGCTCCGGGTGCAGGCGCTGACTCAGGGCATCCCAGTTTCCATCCCTGAGCCCGAACAGCGTTACCCCGGCCTCCAGGACTCCTGGGAGCGGGGAGACTGTAACCACGACATCGAATTCGGGGAGAAGTTCTCCAGGGTCTTTCTGGACTCCCGGGAAACCTCGAGAGACATCCACGGGAGAATGAGACTGCACAACAACAAGCTGGGAAGACAGGTAAACACATCTGTGTGTATGGACCATTCTGAGTCCGGTGCCCGTCATTTTGTCCAGAGCCTGACCTGTGTTTGTGAAATTGATCCTTAGTTTACTCTGAAATTAAAGGAAGGTCAGTTTAAAATGTTCCAATTCTATCTTGGTAATGTGATTTGAGAATTTTAGAGTATTTCAGTTCTGCAGCAACCAATATTCCACTAGTTCGAACAAACAGCTGCTCCTGCTAATTTGAGTGCTAAACAGCGCCAAACAGCGTGTTAGCGGCGCTAAAGAGCATACTAGCAGCGCTCAAGCGTCTACCAACGGGGAAATTATACCTGTGCCTGCTGAATTGTCATCCACTTGTTTGTCTTAAAATCAGGCAAAGAAGGACACCGATATCGGTAGTGTTAGCAGTTCAGTCACTCAGGCAGGCAGTGAAGAATTGAAAACCAGGTTTGGGGAAGTCCTGTCCTGTCCCAGTTGTGAGTGAGACGCTGATATCGCCAGAATCTCGATTGAGCCAGTGTCGCTAATCACAGTTTGGGCTGTGATCCAGGAAACAACTGATCGTCTTCCCAAGAGACCAGAGCAAATCAAAGACAAGACTTATGCAATCTGAGAGAAGGGGATGAGTATCCTCTCTTCTTAAAAAAAAAGCTGGCTTGTGCCTTTCTTTTCTGGTCATTTCAACAATCCAACAGAGCCATCTTATTAGAGATGTTAAATACTCAGCCAAACCTACTTCACAGGAGCATGAAGATCAGGATAGTGAATAGAAGAGGCTGCAGTTTATATGCCAGGACATATGAAATGTGGTGGTTATTAACATTAATCCTTAACAATTTATACATCCATGTTATCCTGAAAGCACATTTGAATAAGCTAAGAGTGCCATTGAGCTGAATGCATAGGCACACTGTGTCAATACGATGACTAGTTGGAACAGTCAAGCTTTGGCACAGGGGTGTTATGATGCCCATGTGACCTTGACAGAATATTGGCTCAAATTGACAAATTGTTGGTTTTAGTTTGAAGACACTGTCTGCTTTTTATTACTTACCTCCTCCTGCTAGTTGTCCCACTGGCTTTGGACCACTCAGTAAGAGCATAGGGTCCGTCACCCCCACCACCCCTCACCTTTAGTAACTATCTGAGAATAGTAGTTCTGCATCACTGACTGCCTTCTGTGATTAGGATTATGTCTGACTGGAATCTATATTGTACTCTTTACTGATTTGGCAGCTCTTTCTACTTTGAATTTATTATGCAATTCTTCAATGTAGAAAGAATCCATTTTCAGTGTGTGGAGGAAGTTGATCAGGAAACTCCCCCATCCCCAATTCTTTCTGATGTGATTTTGATTATCCTTTGCTCATCCTCAATTTCTTAACTCCAGTAATTTGAGGGAAAGCCTCCCACACTCAAACAAACTGAAACCAGACAGATATGAGTTAATGGGGCCCAGGTGCACATACACACAATGCTTAAACTATCACAATGAGAAATGTCCCTCCATGTACCACATCTCGCTTTCTAAAGAAAAGAGTTTCACTCATAAGTTTTATTTGTTAAATCTTTCAGCCAGCACCGAGAGATAGTCCTTCTATAT